GGAAAAAAAGTTAGCTTGACTAGTGGAACATCAAGATCATTAACTGAACATCCAGACCATTCACTATGGAGTGTAAAGCAATTAGCAGGAATCAGGTAATGAGCACTAAAGTCGTTTGATTCTATTAGCACTGCCTGAATAGAAATGCCAATGCTATTGCCTGGCAGCTGGTTTTAAACTCTGGGTGGAGAAGAATTCAAAGTAGAATTGCAACACCCCACCATCCTCTGGATCTATCCCTGCAGGACTCTACTCCTCTCTCCATGCAGCTGCTGGAAGGAAGAGAGGAAAAGCAGCGGCAGAAAAACCTTGTATGGTGTTTAACCAAAGGAATCTATCTTGTGCCAAGCATTTTATTTTTTAATTCTTTTTCTGTAATCTGTTATTAAAATCTGCTTAAGTATCAAAATAACTAGGCGAGTGAGCATGACAAAGATAATGAATAACTAATCTCAGACAAGACAGAGTTAGTATGTCAACCTGACTGAAATTTCCTTCATGGCCTAGCACAGGCTATTATCTCTGTGGCCATACTGAACTACAAGGAGGCATTAAGGGCACAAGGAGAGCTGAAAGACCTATAGAACAGTGGATTCACAACACCTGGGCTGCGTGGGTGCAGCAAGGATGGTGGCTGATCAACTCCCCATCTTCCTCCATCTCCAAATGAAGGAGCCAGATTGCTGAGCATACACACACTGGCTCAAGCAGAAAAAGCAGTAGAGACACTTTACTATGGTACTGTGGATATGATTAGCTCTGTTGAAAGGCAGAGCTAATTAGCCTAAATGCAGCAACGTGGCAATCAGGTTTCACTGCTTCATTTCCTGGAACAGGCTGCCACCAAGAAATTCAAGTGTGGGGTTAGGATTGGGCTCTGATGATCAGGAGGGAGGGAGGCTGTAGAGCTGTGCATGGGGTGGAAGGCAGGGAGGGGCAAGGTGACTGTGAGCAGTAGGTGGGGGTGGATCAAAAAGGTTGAGAATCATTGCTCCAGGGCACTATGTATGGTTATGTGCCATACCTGTCCCTCCCATGAACTGCCCAAAGGATTCTATTGCTTATATTATTTATATATATTTATTATTTATACTCTGCAAAAAATCTGCTTTGTGCCTGATCATTATAAGCTATGCTAACATTTTTCATTCTTTCTTAGATTCATATCACTTACAGGAAATATATACATTAGCCACCTTCCATTTCTTATAATCCTGTCCTGGGAAAAACCTTAGGCTCTTCACTGGTTGATGTGCATTTCTGTTTACCTTCTCTTAAATTAAAGCATTGGGTAGATTGCAAAGGACATTGGTATTAAAGTATTTCATACATACATCAAGTTTGAAATTGTTCCAAGTGAAAGGCAACATAAATATCAGATATATTTAACTGGATTAAAAAATTATTGTAAAAAGAATTTGCTTAAAAGTTTCAGATAACAGTAAGGCCACACAAAAACAGCACTGGCCTGTGCTAATTGAGAGTATTGTACCATACCATACACGGTACCATACCATGCAGTACCATGCATTGTACTGGCCTGTGCTAATTGAGAGTATAGTTACCTTCATGAAATAACCACATTTCAATATAGGTATTTGGGAGAGCATGAAAACTTATACAAAACTCTAGAGGTTGCCTTAAGTAGAAATCGTGTGGCTGCACTTTCAGCCTTTTGTACAGTACTAGTTTTGAGCAGGGCTTGACTTTCGGCACTTACCCGCACCAGTTTAGTGTGTATGTCAGAAATCTCATCCATTTCTGTTGTTTCCAAATTGATTTGCAGTAGATTCTCATACCTGACCAGAAAAAAGTTAAACAAAACATAACATGATTACTGTGTGTAGAGTGATATTTAACAAACGAGTTAAATAATGCAGTTTGGGGATCATTTTATATGTAGGATTCTGAAGGAGAAGTTAATAAAAATAATATACCCATTCTTATTGAAAAGGGGCAGTTTAGCAGGGGGTGAAACATGAGATTATGTTTAACTTTGAGAAACAACATGAAAATTTTCCTAAGCAACAAGCCAAACATTTTAGTTTAGGAACAGGCTCTACACCTGTTTGGTCTCCAGATTTTGACTCAAATGCAAAAAACAACAGCAACTTGCAATCCTAACATTTCTGCTCTTCACTAAGTTACTTCTGCTGACAACTGAAAACTATCTGCTTTAAAGATATCAGTCTATTTTTTTAAATTTGCCAAGCAAAAAAAATCCTGTAAAAAAAAAAAAAAAAAAAAAAGTAGTTATAGACACATCAAGAACCAGTTCTCCAATGCACAGAGGCGTTTTCCTTTTGATATATATTAAAATAACTGAGCCACAATCAAATATTATAAATGGGTCTGGTAGCACTACTTAATATTATTAAGATCCCAAGACTATGACTTCACTTAGGACTTCGTCACAATTTAACCATTTGGATTAGATTTTTTTTTTTTATTCCAATAAAAACAGTACAGCAATTTCCAAAAATAACGCTGCTTACTCATGCATGCCTTAGCCACCTTTTGTTTGAGAAGTTCTAGCGTTCTCACACTTTGGAGCGAGGACTGGAAATTAGACAGAGGGGCCGCATCCACACGTGTGGACATTTGGTTCCCTGGGGACAACTAGCGATGGCACACCTTGTGCTGCCACTAGTTGTCCCTGGGGAACACCAATGCCACGCATGCTCTACTGTGCAGCAAGTTACCCCAGGTTGGGTAGGGGAGGCTGGGGCCAGAACTGGATTGGTCCTAGCAGCCTTACCTGGGGTCCTTCTGGAGTTTCAGCCATGGCAATCCTGCCATGTAAAGCCTGGCTGGCAACAGAATATGGCTCTGGCTGGTCAGGCTCCAGCTTTGGGTGGCATATGCTGCTGCCGCATGCGCCACTCCACTTTTTTCCCCCTGCGCATTTTTTTGGCCCCTGATGGATATCCAGGGGTCAAAAAAACGCTCTGCACTGCTCCCTTGCAATATAGAGAACAACTGAACATACAATATGAGGCGCTACAGACGTGTCTGTGGCACCACATACCACACAGCCATGCTCGTCTGGACATAGCCGGGGGTCTTTTGCCAGGCCTCTGAAAATTCTCTCAGCTGTGGTTAAGTTGGAAACAATTAAATTTGTATGCAGTTTTTCAGGTTACTTAAATAAATGGCTAAATTCTCTGATGGCTCTGTCCACACTAAGTCCAAGGCTGGGCAGGACTCTTCCTGCTACTCTGAGCTGCTGGGGCCACACATTTGTATTGGAGACAGGGAGCCTGTCTCTCCTGTGCTTTCAACCAGACCAAGTAGCCCAAATGAAGCCAGGCTATATGGATGACAAAGACATCAGAATCAAATAGAGGGGACAAGGTATGGACTTTTGGGGAGAAAGGTAGGGAGGATAGCCTGGGAGTGGAAAAAGATAATCTGAGGAGACTGACTGGCTGGAAAAAGAAATGGAGGAACTAATGGGGCAGGGAAGACGGATCTAATGAGAAGCCCCAGGAGTAGAAACCAGACTATGACAGGGACTGGTTAGAGATGACAGGGCAGAAAGGTGGTCAAAACTTGGGAGGAAAAGGACAGAAGAAGAATCTGTGGTCACTAAAGCCCACTCTCTTCCAGAGCAGCCTAGAACGAAACTGGAGATCCATTGTTCTGCTATCAGCAGACAGCTGTGAAACGTATAAAGTGCCTCATCCCAGCTACATCCACCCTAGAGGATGACCAGGGCCATCCTTAGTGGGTTGGTGAATTGGGGTGACTGCCCTGGGCCCTGTGGAGCTGGGCAGAGCATCTGCAGTGACTCCACGCTGCCACCGGCTTCATGTCTGGCTGCTCCGCCCCCCCCCCCCCGAATCTGGCACCTCCGGCTGCTCCCTCCACCAATTGCTGCCAAATCCGCTGCTGGCTTCCTCATGTCCGGAGGCGGGGCTGATTTGCCCCGAGTCCCACACCCTGCTCGGTTGCTCTGAGGATGACAACCTATTTTTGGTATCAGTTACTCTACAAAATGGCAGAATCTATGTAACAACATGTAAAGTCTCCAATCCTGCTAACATGCAGAGATACCTGTAAGATTCCACACGTTGCAGGGTTTTTTCCTTTTACAAGAAACCTGGGAAATCTCACAAACACAACATTACATTAAAACAGCCATTATTAAGATTGTAAAGTCAAGCAACTGATTGGTTAGGAAATGACAACATTAAGAATGGTTGTTATCTTCCTTGGCCCCTCTTACGCTTTGTCACGTAGTCTTTAATAGCACGATAACATATTATGTTTCTCTAGGACTCTTGCGCCTCATTCAGTGCTCAGGATAAAACTACTGTGGAGATGAACCAGAGCTGTATAGAAAAGGAGACTGTTTGTTGGATCCTTGCCTCATTTGTCACAGAAGCTAGAAGATATGTAGTAAATGAGGTGAGAATTAGAACAGGGATGGTCTGATGATTAAGGGAGTTTAGTGCTTTTTGTCTCTGCAAAAAGACGAGTCCTGTAAATCAGAACTTTCACAGCCATATTTCTCATTTTTCTTGTACCTTACTAGAGAGCTTGGGGTCTGATTTGCAGAAATTATAAAGACAACTGCAATAAAGTGAGTAGTAGTTGCACTCTGAACCTGTAAATTCTATATAATACTAAGTACTGTGAAATATCAGGTCCTTGGTATCTCAAATGCTTTTGATCTTAGTCTCTCTGGGGAGAATACAAAATAAGAATATTATCCTTCCATCTCAAATAGGTGGTGCTAATTAACATTTGTGAAGCACTCAGATTCTCTAGTGATAAGTGTCATGTAAGTCCAATAGGAAATTAATTTGGTTTTCAGAGCAAGATCAGAATACCTAGCCTAGGGCCACCCACTGAACAAAAAGAAGAAAAATACTGAAAAGCTGATCATTAAGTGTATGCTGCATTAGCCAAGGGTCCTGTGGGAAACTATAAGAAGCAGATTCATAAGGGGATGGCAGATTATGATTCTGCAAACAACCGTATTCTGATATTTTCTCATGATTTACACACTTGATTTTGCAATCTTAATGATGTTGTTCTAATGCAGTTTTTGTTTGTAATATTTCTAGAAATATTATATTCAATCATATGTGAGAGGCAAGGATTTCGGTGCGTAAAATCTTACCAACTGCAGGGATGGAAGAGACTGAAGTCAGACCTGAAGAAGAATGTATAAATTTAAAAGCTTGTCTAAATCTATCCAATCCATGTCATGCAGCTGGTCGAATAAAAGATCTCATCCACAAATATCCTTGCTTCTCATATTTTTCCTGGCTACAATAAGACTCCAACACTACCAAAATTAGTCATCTATTTTAATTTTAAAACCTCTTTGCAACAGGGAGCTAAGATTTTTAACAATTTGTTTTACTGCTCTTTATTCTTCCTTAAAATATTGGACAAGCTTAGTGGCTAATGCATTACTGCAAGTAACCAAATGCTTTGTCCTGCTTTTACAGTAACTCCTTAAGCAAATGGTACATCTTGACTGACAGAGAAGAGAGAGCAAACTACAAAACAGTGGTTTTTTCCACTACCTTAAGTAGCAACAATCACTGGCAGGTCCAAGCCACTGCTGAGGCTACATCACAACCAACTGTAATACAATTCTAATTAAAGCATCATTAATTTGCTGTGGGAGAAAATGTAAATATAGTTATCTTTAAATACAACAGCCATTGAAGAAAATAACAACAGCAGGCAGTTTCAACCACAGTGTAATATAAGACATCTACTCACATTTTTCCAGCCCTTTCAACATTTCTGTTGCAGAAATCCAGCTTAATCTCAACCTCTGTCTTCTTGTGCAACATTGCATTGTAATCTTCTTTGATTATTTCACTGGAAAGCATAGCATTCATCTATCAAACACAGTTTTCACTTCTTTTGTTGCATAAGTTCGTAATAATAGCTCCTAGTGGAGAACAACCTCTCTAAGATTTCACATTATGTCATAAAATGACATTCCAAACTTTGGGAAGATATTACTAATGCAAGGGCTAGATCCATACAGGACTTAAAGATCTACAAGTCAGGCACCACAATAAATAATTTTTAAAGAACCTGGCTCCCAGAGTGAAGTCCAGATCCCAAAGAGTCAGGTGTCTGGGTGTCACACACATGACCCAGAGGCAAGATCCAGGCAACAGAGTTGTATCATCTGGCCCCTGAAGCTGCCCTGTGGGTCTCAAAAGTGAACTGCAGACAGCATGCAGATGGGCCATGTTTCACATTCCTGTTGCACATTCCAATTTGCATCCGGGTGCAGCTGCCATGAGCAGCACAGCCTTGGAACAGAAGTGGCCACTCTGGGGCGCTGGGGTCCAGGGTCAACACCAGCTGGAGCAGGACCATGCCATATACAGCAACCACTCCAGGTCCAGAATACAGGGCCAGACTGTGGATCCAGTCTAGCCCACAGACTTGCCCCATGTCATGCATCTGGCCACAGTGCCCTTACCCACAAGGCCAGATGAGTTGGACGTTGCTGCCTTATGAAGTGCATGAAGAGAGTTAGGGGTCTCTGAATGGTAATCCAAGGAAACAATGCTGAGAAAGCAGCCACCTAGAGCTAGCCAATAGGAAATGTTAAGCACAGGAGTTATAATCCTGTCCTTCTCCAGCACCTAAGTCAGGGTTGCAGGCAGGCACTTCCAACCACTTGGGATTCAGGGCCCCAAATTCTCTAATGACGGTAAATGTCTATTGAGGTGCACTGATACATCGGTCCCATATCAGATCAGCACTGATATAAGGAAAATTGACAGTATTGGCAATCAACTTTTTTTGGCTGATGTGGCCAATAATGTCGCTGATAAATGCCACGTGCATGCGCGCAACTGCAGCCCAGCATTCAGGCGGCCAGGAGCGCAGCCCAGCAGCATGGAGAGCAGTGTTGGACTGGTAAGTCTGTTGTGTTGGAAGGAGTGGGGGGAAATCAATCGAAGTCCCCACAGTGAGGGAGGGAGTGGGGCTGGGGCAGGAACTGCACAGCAGGGGCGCAGAGCAGAGCTGCAAACAGCTTGTCTGGGTGGCACAGGAGCTCCCACACCTATGCATACCTCGGGAAGGCATGGAGGATATGTGCCCCTGGATCTGAGCATGGGGCGAGGGCGGGCTGCCACTGCGAGCTGGGACTGGGGCTGTGCCAAGCTCTTCCTGTTGTGCAGGGCTGGGCTGAGCTGGGCTTGAGGCAGGCGGTGGTAGCACTGCTATGTCGAATTCTGGGGTGGCTGCAGCCCCCTCCAGTAGCCCCTACTACCAGCGCTGCCACCGCCTGTTCTGAGCGCAGCCCAGCCCAACCCCCCTGCCAGAAAGAGCCCAGCACAGCCCCGGCCCCAGCCTGCAGCACCAGCCTGCCCTTGCCCAGTGCATGGATCCAGGGGCATGCGCCCCCCCGGGGTGTGCGTAGTGCTGGGAGCCACACCTCCCCTCCCCTTGTGCCCTAGACAAGCTGCTCGCAGCTCCGTCCCATGCCCCACCTTGCCCGTGCCACGCCTGCCCCTGCCCCACTCCCTCCCTCACTGTGGGGCCCTCTATCTGCCCCCCCATGCCTCTTCCATGTCCCCACAACAGACTTACCAGCTGGATGCTGGTCTCAATGCTGCAGGGCTGTATATTGGCAAACACATCGGTATCAGCTGATAGGCTCATTAAAAATTGGCCACCGGTATAGGTCCAAAAAATCTCTATCGGTGCATTCCTACATGTCTATATCTATTCTTTTAAAGTACTGAATAGGACTTACCATTTTGTTATATAACAAAGCCAGAGGGAAGGAGGGTGGTATCCAGCCTCTAACCTGCCCTAAACTTGCATCTCCCTCCTTTCCAGGAGAGCGCCCTAATCATTGTTACAAGCTCAACTCTCCACCCCTCCTGCAGTTGTTTTACCATGCAGAAAGGAACACAGGATTTAGGGGGGCAAAATGTGAGTAAGCAAAAGGGAGAATGACTCCACAGCTTAAGACACAGGCAAGCAAGAGGATCAATACTGGGTCCTAGTCCCTGAGCCCAAGATTGTTTCTCTAATTAACATTTAATGATCATTGCATCTGGCCAGCCCTGCCATCAGCACCCTCCCCTTCCCCATCTGGAAGGGGGTACACTCCTTAAAAAAGGTTGAAACCCTGGCCTAAACTATGCACCAGCCATGCTCCTTCCTGGATTCTCTCCTGTCACCAGTGAATCTTGCATTCTTTGCTGCATAGGATAGGCCTAAATTCACTTGATACTCCCCTGCCTGAAGGGTGATCTGGCAGCTATGGGCAACCCAATCAAGTCTGGCAAAGAAACCATGCTTGGCAACATTAAGTCAAACAGTCACTTACATTAGCCACCTTATTCCTTTTCGCATCAATTCCTGGTAAAGCAACAAAGCACTGGCAATTCTAGAGGCATAGCATACAACACCTGTTACTGCCTGTTTGAAAAATAAAAATATAAGTACTAACTCAGCATTCACAACTTTGCAATTTAAGTCAGTGGATCATAATAAAATAACAATGGATAACACTTGAAAAAATTATAACATGAAGTTGGTAGCACAATATTTGCCAGTAAATTGGTGGAGAAATAACAATTTAATCATTATATTAGTTAAAGTGATAATGGCTTTTCCAAACGCTTTGTTAGGGACAAGAAAAAGTCTACCATAACCAAGAATTGACACCACTTTTCTTGGGGTTCAGATTTAATTTTCTGGAAAGTTACAAGTTAATTTATTCAGCAGTTTAACAATCCAGAAAATGATAAAATACTACATTTTCAAAATTGTAGGCCTAGGCTCCTATGTTTTTGCTACCACCCAGTCCTGCTTACAGGCTGTTGGGTTTTTTTTAAATTCCACAAAGAGGCTAATTTAAAACATGTTTAACAGAAAAAGTTAAAGTTAATGTTAGCAGTCATAACTTTCTAGTTTTATCAAGGATAATAAATTGATACAATTTCAAGTGTCAGCACTAAAATATTAAGAGATTTTCAGGGGAAATTACTTGACTGTTCCCCTTCCTGAATACTTTGAGAGATACAAAGAGACAGCTTTCTGTGTGCAAATTAAGCAGACACCCTATAAAGCAATTATCTGTGACGTCAATAGGAGATACCTGCATGCAACAGGCACAGAACAAGGACCAAAAGGAGAGTTGCCACTACCTTTCTCTTATGAAGTTTCTGTCTAAGGTGGAGAGTCTCAGAAACTCTACAGGAGAGAAATCCATTCTCCACAGAAAAGGGAACTCTTATTTTGGTCTTAAGTTGATTATCATCACAGGAAAGGACACTACCTACAATACTTTTTGGCTAACCTTGTGTATATATTCCTTGCAGCCATACATAAACACTTAAGCACTGAATTATGTACTTATATATTTCTGGAGGAATTTAATTTTTATTCTGAATATTTATTCTATAAACAAAGATCAGAGCTTTTCAGATTAACAATTTCAACTGAAGTTATACAACGTTTAGGGAATTCTTAGAATTCAGTTTGTGTAAGAGCTACATAATTTAATGAAATAACCTTAACTTCCAGTTATTTTTATTTCATTTGGCATACCAGACTACTAAAGACCATCACCTCAATGGATCTCTCTCAAACATTCACTTATTATGGTATGGTATGCCAAATGAAATAACCTTAACTTCCAGTTATTTTTATTATATTCTAAAATATATATAAAATAAATTGCAGCATAAATGTATTAAAAACAGAGGTGGTTTGTAGGGACACATTTTCCCCCAACATTAATGAACACAAATAGTGTAATTCCATTATAGATATCTATTTATAAAATCTTGGCTTTTTTTTTTTTTTTTTTTTTTTTAAGACAAAAGGCCTATTGATTTCAATGGGAATTTTGTTTGAACAACAAATTATAGATTTGGTCCTTACTTTATAAAGCACTGTAATTTTCCTCTAAGAAAAAAGTCAAAACAAAGATCACTAGTAATAATGATACACAGCACTTATAAACTGGTAATGCTTTTCTCCTTCAAAGCATGTAACTATGGCCATAGGGGACATGACTAGGAACAATGGCCTCCAACTTCAGCAGAGAAAATTTAGGTTGGAGATTAGGAGGAACTTTCAGACTAACAGGGTGATCAAGCCTTGGAACAGGCCACTTAGACAAATTGTGGAATCTCCATCCTTGCAAATCTGAAGAGCATGTTGGACAGACACTTGGCTGGGATGATTTAGTCAGGGATGATTCTGCCTTAAGCAGATGGCTGGACTACATGGGGTCCCTTCCAGAACTACTTTCCTATGATAGAAAAATATCTTGTTTTAATTTAATACAGTACTGAATGACAGAAGAAAAAAATATTTTCCTGTCAACTAATGCCATCATTAACACTTATAAAAAGAATGCCCACTGCAAAAACCAAATCAGTAATACCTACTGATATTATTCATATTGTCATTAGATATCTTTAGTTTATTTGAGATAGTAATTTAATTCCAGTTCTAATTACATACTCACTTTAGCCATACTGGCATCACCATCTAAGTCATACCGTGGAGGTACTTTAGGAAGTAAAACTGTAATACATAAGCAGTGAAAATGTATTAATTCCATAATATGCATTAAGTCTTTAACTCAACAGTAAATACAAAATACATATTGTGTTCAAGAAATCTTTCTTTTGTGAGTTTAGTAAAACTGAAGTGTCTCAGAGAAGGAAGCAGGAAATACAAATTACCTTTCCCAATCTCTACCATCTAAAATTTAAATAAAAATTACTTTTGATAGCAAATAACAAGGACTAAACATTGGAAAAATACTTGAATTACCAAATATTCTTTAAAAACTAGAAAAAAGATACAGGATTTCAAGCATCATTTTGAAAATCCTTTAAATTTTTTTTATATGATATACTTTAAAGAAGAATTTTAGAATTCCATGCATAACAAAAATTCCTCACTACAAAATCTGCTTGGTAACAGGACATTTTTTGGTGGAGCATGAGATTTCAAAATCCACTTTCAGGTATTTCAATAAACGGCCTCATTTGTCAAAATGCTTAGTAGCCAGCAACATGTAGTGATATCAAGAGAATGCTTTGGATGCCCAGCAGTTTTGAAAACTCAGGCCTCTTAGTATGCACATGCTGAAATGTGAATTTAGGAACATAAATTTAGGCTCCTATTTTTGAAATTCTAAAATTCAAGTTTTCCATTCAGATGTCAAAAATAATAAGTAATTAAAACTATTTTAAAAGAAAAAACTAAACATAGTTTTCAGGTAATTACATAACAGACAGAAAAGATTTCAATCTACCTGCTTCATAGATTAATCCTACGGTATTCACAGACTCCCTGCTTACAACAAATATGGGATTTTCTTCAGTGGTTCTGGGGAAGTGCTGTGCCAATCTGCCAGGATCTAACACTAAACGGCGACCTTCAAAGATCAGTTCTTGATTCTGAGAAATTATTTTTGTCTGTTTGTAGACCAATTCATGAAATATAGCAGCTCTGTAAGAAACACACTTATGGAATAAATGATATTCACTAAAACGCAATGGGTTAAACCTAATTTTATGTAAAAATAAATAAAACAAATAATTAAATAGGGCTAAGCAACCACACGTCAATTTTATAGGTTTATAGGTTAGGAGCACGCACATAGGCAGTTACCATGGATCAGATGACATATGGGAAATCCCCACATCTCTTCTACCTCAAAATAATCTGTTGGTATGTCCATACTCTGAGAGTACTTTACTGCCAGGCCTCTCTCTTTTAAATCAAGACATACCACAAAAGCCTCTAATGCGAGTCACAGTGGCAGGCACAAGAAGAGAGGTGGTCTCTCAAGTAGTTAAGTGACAATCTATTTAGAGATTTTTTTTCCAGGAAAAAAATCATTATGACATCCAGAACCTGAGATACATACTTTGTATTGTACACTTACAAATATTATTTGCTGTCCAATCCCTTCAATTCATAGTATACCAAGAGATTCATTTAAGAAACAGATGGAGCTATAGTCAGAGAAGAGCTAATTTGACCATTTTGTATTCATTTACATGAAAACATGCAATGAAATAAATCATTTTCAGAAATTTTACACAATTTAAAAAAGTTAGATTATAAGCTTTTCACAAGAGGACTGACTTCACTTTAGCTCTGATGGTACCAATATTTTGTGGGCACTTAAAATGGTAGCCCATATTCAAATAGCACTGGGAAGTAAATTAAAAGAGAGAGAGAAAAACTTCCAAAGTGTAAATGGTGAAGCATTCAAAGAGTTCTTTTGGAAGCATATCACTTGGACTTGGATGTCTTTACCAAACGAATCACAGATAATAATAAAAGAACAAAATGGGAAGGACCAAGAACAAAAATCACCATGTAAATGTATAAACATCACATAGGCAGACAAGGTTCCTTGGGTGAATTTGATATCTTTTATTAGACACATCACATATGCATTCATAGAAATATTACTTGACATATGAGGGCTTTATAGGTTTGTAGCGTAAAATAGCATTTTCACACATTTCCCTTCTGGTTGCACAAATGTCATGTGAAATTACTGAATTTGTTATACTGGTTATCTGAGCTCCCAGTATTCTATGCTTGGAGGAGACTGAAGTGGAAATAACGAAGAGAAGACTACTTACGTATTGTAGCTGTGAATATAAATTTTGTGTAAGGACATTTGCTGTAGTGAGAAGATATGAATTATTATTCGGTGGAGTATGTCACTTGTCTCTGCAAAAAACTGGTCAAATCCCCAGCATTTCTCTTGATCTGCTTCAAGAATATTTGCAAGAACAGGTGTGAGCAGTACTTGTAGGCCCCTGCAGTTGCATAAAAAAAAACAGCACCATTTAGAACATTTCACCTCCTGACACTGCAGTAAGTTTTTTTCTGGACATGCCATAAGTAAGCCATTTTTGGGGACTCTGAGAAATTCTACCCACTTCTTCTCCTTTACTGTTTGACAGCTTCCTTCAACAATACTGTCTACTCTTTTTCTGACTACAAACTCTTTATGCTAAATCCACTTTTCTCAGATCTGAGTACCAAATATTTTGCCTTTGGTATTTGGAATAACAGTAACAGGCAGCTCAGGAAGTTTATAGTGCTTGCTACTCTGGCCAGAGGCAACCTAATCTTGTATTTGTCCTTAGGAGCACAGGACTAGAAAGTGCATCTTGAGTCACTGAGCTGTCACCATCTTGCACAGACACACACAAGCATAAGTATGTATAATATATGCTGAGTACGTACACAGATCAAAGCAGAATCTAGTAGGCAGTCACCATAAGTGAAATTTTCAAGGGCTGGAAGGGCTTAGAAATACAAGACCATTTAGCAAATAGATGCTGTGCTGAAGTAATTTAGGGCCTTTAAAAATTTTCAACCTGTATTATATGTACACACACTATTATTTTTTTATGTAATATGTCCTTAACATATAGGTTTTGACTTGATATACCGACTGAGATTAATATTTTTAAAAATGTGTTTATCTTTAACAGAATAGATTTAAAAAAATCTAATTTAATTCATGAGAAACAACTAGTTCTCTCCTCCTAGATGTACTACATTTTTTTCAAAATTTTATGAGAGAATTACAACCCCAACTCTGAAACACTTGGTGGTCAAAGCCTTAACTGCCCCAAAGGCTAAAAATAAAATTGTGTTAGTATTGAAATCCAAATCCCAACCTACATTTAAATGCAATATGGACATCAACTTAAAAAAAATGTACTTGAAAATTGTTTTCATTTATCAACCTAACAACTAAACAAATGTTACAAGGGAAAGCTTGCATGAAAAAATATTCCTCCTTTTCTCCCTATTTGTTTTCTTTACCCATTCCACAGATGCTGTGAATTCGTTATAATCAAAGACATTACCCTGCTTAATGCATTTTTCCATACAAATATACAATGCATATAAATACATTTGCAAATCCCACCAAAAGCGACACAGTGGACATATTAATAGCTAATAGTTTCTATATGTTACAGCTAGTTCAAAATCAGGGTATTTTTCTCTTCTATTTATGTACGTTTTAAAATTGATATAAAGGAAAAGCTTATTTGTTTAGGCACAGCAGTGAATTAAAAGGTTACTACAAAATTTAGAGAAAATTATGTGAACTCTACAATTAAATCTTTCTAAATGAGGAAAATGGAATTAGATAAGACCACCAGAGATGTTAACTCCATGAATTAAAGGGAATGTACAAATTACACTTTTGTTTACAATGAATCTCTAGAACAACATTTTTTCCAATTACTCCAAGACAGAAAACTAACTTCAGATAGGAAATTAGGCTTTCACTTAGCAAGGTACATGTGCATAAACTTTAAACATGTGAGTAATCATTATGACTTAAATAAAACAAGTAAATGAGCCAAAAAAGTTTTTATCCCATTTACTACACTGAAGTCAATGCAAACACTCGCATTCTTCAATTTGTGTGTGCACTTGTGTACCTTGTTGACATGGGACATTCATTTGTAAATTTGTAATCTGAAAGCAGATTGTTCTGACCTAATTCTTATCAGTTTCTCCTTTAACTTTTGGCTGTAATGTGTATGCCTACACCAGTTTCATGACTACTGCAGTTGGGGAATATGAAAGGGGAGAGTGAATGTGCATGCGTAGGTTATAATTTTTTTGCCATGTACTGGTGTTCTTAAATATATATTGCATTATTACATGTGTACCAATAAGTAGAAAAGTTTTAATAACATTCTAGGGGGAATCAGCACTAAAAATATTACATGAAAGGTAATGCTGGTAATGCTAGCTGTTTCCTGGAGTAATTTATTTATCTTTAAAATAACTTTTCCCCCCATTTAAATCCTGCATATTGTTTCTAGCTCTTTGGCTCTCTGCTTTATTATTCAAGCAGAAAGATGTAAATCAAGTCAGAGCTTTAGATGAACAACAGTATGTTCAAGCTAAATGGCAGCCTCTTCTCTGGTGAGGAAGCTAATACCTCTCTCCCTCTATACAGGCAAGCTCTTGGCTATACTACTCCTTTCCAGCATGCTCAAGTGCTCCTTTGTACATGAGCAGCCACTGAAACATTTGGATGGATGTAAGCAATTTATATCCTATGAGCTGATAAAAGAACATTTTATAGCCTTGCTATAAAAATTCAAAAAACTGTAAGACCCAGAGTTCCTGTGTTGCACAGTTCCTATTTTGAGAAGATGAAGGAAAGACTCCTCCTGGTAGCAGTGAAACATTTGGTTAGAAATGAAGCTCAAAAACTTACTTAGAAAGACTACAGGAAATAGGCATCTCCCAACTCCACTCGATTGGTCCATTTTCTGCTTTCTGCACTCCGGAAACAGCACCAGAAGGCTTTCCAGTGATAATTTTATACCTGTGGTATAAAAATAATACACAATCCTTAATTACTCCTCTCCAAACATCGGTCAAGTAAGCTAAGCCTCTAATGAATTACTGTAAAGAAAAACTGCAGAACTCATGTAAGACTTAAGTCTCTAACTCGGTGGCAGTGCAAGTCAGTGCCTGAGGGTGTTTATAGACATGGCAGGGACACTTTAATTAGTGCAGCTCTGAGAGCTGTGCTATTTAAAAGGCACTCAGAACATCATGTGCATCAGAGTCCCTGCACTGAAAAATGGTGGCGGGACACTATGAACTAAAGCTCATCGAACGACCTTTAGTTTGAAGTGCCCCGCAGCCATTTTTCAGTGCTGGGATGCTGATCCACGTGAGACTGAAGTCTGCTGGAGCGTAGTAATTACCACACTCCAGCAGAATCAATTAATTACAGTGCGTCAGAGCAGCCTCCCTGCACATGTATAGGAGCCCTTGGTTCCAGGCTGGCAGAGAAGGAATGGTGTTGAAACAATACTTTCAGCACTGAATGAAATGAAACACATAATATTCTTGTACTAGAAGAGCTCCTGTTGGTAACTTAGGACTGAGAAGTATTTGGGGAATTCAGGACCTTGATAGAAAAATGTAAAGCTCTCTTAAGGAAGCGAAGTCATTTTAAGTCAGCACATTACAGGCATTTATTGTAATGGCCTTGCAGGGTTCCAAAGGAAGAGGTAATATTATACTAATAAAAAACTGCTCATTTGGATAAAAAGAATACCTCTTGCTTCTGAGAGGTCACAGTAACTATAAAATAGCCAATACATTTATACACATTTTTTTCAATTCCAAGTAGAAAGTATGAAAGTAAAGGGAGGAGTTTCCTTAAACTGCACGCAGTTCTATGGAAAAGAAAGGAAAAGGAAATTTAAAGAGCAAACTGACATCAGAAACAATTTTACCTGTCAAGGTTGGCCTAAAAAAAACAAACCAAAAAAACCAACCAACCACAGTATATGCATAGAAAGACTGTATATATTTCAATTATGCAGCTATAAAAATGTTATTGCTTAATTGCTGATTTTTAAGTTGGAGTTAACTACATGTAAATGAATATAAAATTATCATTTTAAAATATAGTAAGTCTAACTCCAATTTATTCCTAAAATCATATGCCAAGCAGGGGAGAGGCAAGAAGACACATTGTCTTCCCTGCATCAGAAGCCTTACAACTTGTTGAATGCCCCAAATAGCTCCTACGTTTTCTTGAATACCAGAAGTCCCATTTGTCCTCTCCCCAGGTGCCCTAAATTCCATCTTTATTTAACATCTTCAAAACGGAAGCTATCTGTTGTTGGAAAGACTGGTTGCTTAACCTTCCCTACACTAACTGTGATTTTCTGAGATATGCTTTCCCCACTGATACCTCACTGGGTGCAGTCAGCCAGTCTCATTCCTTTTGAATAGCAGTATGTGCTGTGGCCAGCTGCACCCCTAATGCTCTGCAGGTTACTGGAGCAAAGGCTATAAGGGAAAAAAGAATTGCCATTCAATTTAATTGCCAGCAAGAATCCCAGACATAGGGATTTGAACTGGTAGGAGTAAAGGGCAGATCATGGAATGTGTCTGAACCTATTTCTTTGGAAAGGGAAATCAGATACAGAACAATCAAATAATATTTCCTGGAATAGGATTCAGACTCCAGAAGGGTCAGTATAGCTAGAGTTGTTAGGCATATAGGTTGGTGCCAGGATAGTCAATGACTGAAGACACTTAATTTCCATCTGTGGTCTTTAAAGAGTTCCTCCCTGTATTCTCACTGCACTATTTTGTGCAAAGCCTAAGCATGAGAATAAGAATGAACAAACTCCATCCATTCAGAGTGCAGCTGTCTGCAGTGCTGGATTTGCAAATTAAGACAGGAGCTGACTAAACCCTGGAAATATCATCTCTGATGCTTCATTAGAACAAACTCCAGAGCTACAGAAAATTTAACAAGTATTAAAAATGACTGTTATGGAATATCCAGTGCTGACACGTGTTGGGTCTAGGAGGTTGCACCGAAGATGGCACCACGGGCATCTTGGCTACCTATACCTATGCTGATTTGCATTCTAATTAGAATGTATCAAAGCAGACTCGTTTAATCGAGTCTGCTTCGCGTCCCAATTGGAATGCTCCAGCATGAGTTCACAGTCATGTAAATAAGCCCCTGCACATTTAAAAATGGCCACTAGGGCACTATCTAACCCTTGTCCAATGAAGTTTAGATAAAGCACCTGTCACCATTTTTAAATCTGCAGAGGATTAATACACACGATGGTGAGGTGTTTTAATTAGAGTGGCTCTCTGAGAATTGCTCCAATTAAAATGCCCTCTCACCCCCACCCGCAAGTGCATGTATAGGCAGTCCCTGATTCTTATGAAATGAAGTAGCCTCAGTTGAAGTTTGATCTTTGGTCCTCAGGAAGAGAACTGCAGATTTGAAAAGAAAAGCCATCAGTGAGGTTTTGAGACTAAAAATATTTTGTGCAGTGCAAAATATACTAAATATCAAAATAAATTATACTTGGGCTAGGGGATAGGAAAGACAGCATTGAAGGAATGAGACAGAAAAGCAGTGTCATAAATTTCTGGAGATTCTGCACAAAATTTTAGGTCCTAGTGTGTCATACATTAAACCTTACTAAATATTAAATTTGTATTTCAGGGAATATTATAAACAAAATATTGCTTGTTCTTTATTGGCATACTTAATTTATGAAGAGACACAATTCTCCCTCTAAATTACCTACATCACTTCCTTGTTTCTGCGAGGTCCTTCAAAAGGTCGGAATGGTAAACTCCCTGTTGCAGCATGGTAAAATGTCACCCCTATGCTCCATAGATCAACTGTTGCTCTGTATTTTTTCTGATGTTCTTTCCTTAACACAGCTCGCTCATACATATCAGGATGCTTGAGAGAAAAATAGGTAAAATAACTGAGAATTAATTGCTCTGTGAGTAATTATAACGCACTGATATCCAAACCACCAGCCATAACAGGACCATTCTAAGCACCTCTTTCATCAAAAAAGAAAGTTAGTTCGTGAGGCTGAATGTACATAAGCTTTTCAGTACAAGCACTACAAAAATGTTCAGTAAACACCAGCAGCTGTATAGCAGCTCTCTATTATACAGAAAATTAGCAAAGAAAATTCAAATTAAATTCCAGTTTATGGGATGAAAGCAAAACAAAAGGAGAGAAACACTAGGAAAATTAATATTTCTTCTAAAAAATGCATTGAGCAGAGACACAGAAAAAGAGGGCTTTAAGAACATTTATTACAGCACTAGCATTCAATGAGGTCATGTGAACTGGAAAAGATGAAACAATTTTCTTTTTTACCTTTCTGCAAAAATACATTTCCTTTCACTAAACTGATCTCCCTACTGTTTGGAATGTAATGGCCATGCACAGATAATTCCCAATTGTAAGCAACTTCCTCTTGGTTTTTTCAATATAAATATTAGTCAGGTAAATCTCAGTGATACCTGGGCATTACCAAACAGTGCAAGAGAACATTTAAAATATACAGATACTCAGAGGAAAGGGAATTTTAAATATACTGTATTTACTTGAATACAAGGCAAACCCAATAATTATATTCTACATATAAAAAAAAAAGTTACAATTTTCCAGGTGTAGCATCTAGTTATTTAAGTGTTGTCTCAAATTTATTGCCTTCCCACTGCTACAGCAGGGAAAATAGTGGTTGATGGGGAGTCAGATGGACCCCTTGCTCTCTGCCCCCCAACTTCTTCCCCCTGCAGCCTTCCTGCCCCCTCCCCCCTTACTGTCAGATCCTGCTCAGGTTCTGCTCCTTCCCCAAGCACAATGTGGAAGTGGGGAAGGAACAGAGAAGAGAACAGAAACTGCAGAGGGGAAGAGGAGACTGCTGTGGCCTGACTCTGTGCCCAACCCTGACCACTGCAAATTTCAGCACAGGTACTCTATAAACACACTTTTAAGCAGCACTTCTGTACCTACTTGTATGTAGTACAAACTGTGCATGACATCAGTCCAGAATCAAAAGGCATGACATATCATATAGTTCATTGGGCTGGGCCCCAGGAGAGTCAACAGTGTTTCTGAGCATGGTGATCCTACAGTCCATCACTGCTCAATATGTGTGCATACTCCAGATACCCTCAACAAAGGATCCATGTGCTAAATAGCTTCCCACTCATGACAAATTGGGTGTTCTTTTCACAAGTCCTGGGACCCTCCAAAAATGTATACACAGATGAGCTGCAGTGCTGCCTAGTCCATTCTCCACCCCATAGAGGGCAGGGCCATACTAATCATATGCATCAGGCTGAGAGAGTGGACAACAGAGCCTCTCAGGTACACAAAATTTTGGTGATGTTTGCCAGACATTTAAGAAACACTGGTGAAGAAACAGGAATAACTGGAAATGGGAAAGAAAGGTGTAGCTCAGCTGTAGGAGTGAGGTGGAAGTCAAAGTATATTCAATATAGTGGTTCACCATGACTTTGAAAAGAGTTGGTGCTGAGGGGGAATGAGCACAATCAGCACTATATCTTATTCAGATGGGCTACACTAGCCTGTCCTTGTGGTTGGTTCCCCAGTGTGTTTGCCCAATATGGGCCATGTGTTCTATGGCCATGCTCAACACAAGCTGCATTCAATCAACTTTATAGTTGGTTTCTGTGACTGAATGCATGCTGCTTCTAGCAGCAGTTAATGATAGCCAGTGCATTTAACAAGGAGGTTTGCTACTATGCAAATATAAGACAAGGGGCTTTTTTTTTCTTTTCTTTTTTTCATGCTGATTGGGAAAAGAACCCTCACCTTTATTTGAGTAAAACAGTATATGGATTTTCTTCATTTTGCATGGAATGTGGAAAAGCTAATTCAGGAAATAACCTCAAGATAGGCATTAAAATAAGAGGACAGTAGAATGTCATAAAAACCAATACAATACAGAACTTGGCATTGGAAAATGAATTTCTAACTAGAATTCTGCATCTCAGCTATTCATCAAGAGATGAATTTGACACATTCTTCAAATCAAAGATAAAATTAAATGGCTTACCAAATATTCTTCTGTGCCATAGAGGGAAACAAATTGTTCATCATCTTCTAATTCTCTAGCAGCTCCAAAATCTGTCAGTTTGTAAACAGAATGGCCCTCTTCACCTACAACACGCATTATATTGCCTGGTTTTATATCACGGTGCACTATTCCATTCTCACGGAGATGATTCATCCCAGCCACTTAAATACAAAGGCATACAGAATTTAATATGCACATCAAAGACAGAATACACACTAAAATACCACTGAAGAATGTGCATTTTCATATCCTATTTTTTTAACCAATGGGACAAAGAACAGTACAGAATACTACTGCTACTAAAATTTGCATGGATATAACAGGACATTCAGATGATCCATGTTACTACTTCATCTTAAAACAGATCATTACAATGCCTTGTTCTCAAAAATCTTGTTCCTGTAAAACCATATTCTTCTGTCATTCCAAGTAAAAATTTACCGACACCAGATCTTATTCTCTTCCCAAAGAAAGATCCACAATATAGGAACCAAGAAGTAGCACTTGGTTTTCTCACTAGCCTTTCATGCACTCAACTGTTAAAACAGACATTTCTCAATTGTCAGCTTTTCTACAGTTACAGCCAGGAGTCACTGGTGGTCCTCCCTACTTCACCAGTACTTTTTTTGTGATTACATGTTATAAAGATGACAGCCCAGTAAGGGAAAAATAAATAGCATAAAATAGTTTTAAAATGCATAAACAGTTTATTAATGCAACTACAATTGTTGTTGCAGATAAAAAGAAGGTGATGATCCGATATAACAACATTCACATTCTCAAACAATTAGAAATCAGGCTAAGAATCTGAATGCTACGATTCTAAACTTGGCAAGGGAACAAATTAAACTAAGTTTAAAAGGTTGAAATCCTACATACCAACATCTCTCAGCACAATTAAGAATTCAGATTCTGGAAGTCCATAGGCATTAGACGGCTCCTCTAACACTGTGTATAAGCTCCCACAAGGACAAAATTCCATAACAAGTACTTTGTGCCTAGTGGTTGTCTATAAAACAAAAAAGGATAGATTTGCAAAGGCTATGAAAATTTTTAACAATGCTAGAAATTATATCAAGTCACAGGCTCTTACTTTCAAAAAGTGATATAACAAGCCTAAGTCTGGTAGCTTTTTTAGAAAAGAAGAGGTAGGGAAAAGAAAAATCCATATAATTTTAAAAATAAACTTGAATGGGAAAAGGAAAGGGAGGCCACAAGATCAGGGATGTTGGACCTCTCAGAGAAGCTAGCCTGGGCAGAACAAAAAAATGAGAAGCTGCAGGGAAGAATAGTGCAAATATGTTCTGCTTTTTCTCTCCCTTTGACTCAGTCCTGTCCAATTCTTAACAATCATCATCTTTGGGTCATCTTTCCATGAGACTCCAGTCAGCCTTACATTTATATTGCACTAATTCCTAGATGCAATTCTGCATTTGCAAATTTGAGTTGGTTGTACAGTAGGCCCCCCTGAAAATTTTGCCAAATACCTCGGATTTTGTAGTATTATGAAGATTGTAGTATTATGAAGATACACTATCAGAAAAACAGCATGCATTAAAATCTTCACCAAAAATGTGTACAGCAATACCATAAGATGTGTACAGCAATATCATAAAAATCTGTTAGCTCAAAGAATTCCATTTCTAGTACAATTTATGCATAAGATGTTCATATGAACTTTGCATATGACTGGAGACTAAAAAAGAAGGACCGAGTGTGTTGATATCCCAGGCTACCAGGAGATAGTTATAAACCCCAGCAGCACTATAGACACTGGACAGACTAGCAGCCCTGTACCCCTGATGCTGTCTTACTAAGGCTTTATCAAAAACCTTTGCTCAACAAGGCCTCAGCTTCTGGCATTCCTTCCTCCCCTTTCACTTCCCTTCTCCTTAGTTCAATGTGGTCTCAGCTTCTAATCAGTTTCCTCTCTCTTTCTTGAAGGTGACTGGGCTTGGCTGGGTTGCCAAATACCAGGGAGTTTGAAGGCCCTTGCAGATTATACTAGGTAAAATGGTAAATCAACTGACACATCATCCTAGAAGATGGGGACGTTTGAAGGAAGGTTCAACAGTTTGGTACACATACCAAAGTACTGAAATAAGAAACACTTGCTTGGATCCGTCTGGCAATCGGTGATTGGCTTTCTTGTGAAATTATTAGAATCAGATTCGTTTCTATAGTTACTCAATGTGTAATAAAGCTATAAAAGATCATAGAAAAGTAGGGCTGGAAAGACCTCAAGAGGTCATCTGGTCTAGCCTCATTCCCTGACTAAAGGATGTCAATCAAGTGTCTGACTAAGCTGCTCTTGAATATTTCCAGGAATTAAGATTTCACAGCTTCTCTAAATTGCCTATTCCAAAGTTTAAGCACCCTCACAGTGAGAAATATCTTCCTAATCTCCAACCTACATTTCCTCTAATGCAGTTTGAGACCACTACTCCTAATTCTATTCCTGACAGCCACAGAGAATACTCTCTCTCATACTTTTTATAATCCCCTTCAGGTATTTGAAGACTGTTATCAAATCCACCTTCTGTCTTCACCTCTCCAGACTAAATAAATAACCCTAGTCCTGTGATCTTTTCCACATAAGTCATGTTTTTCAGAGGACTTTTTTTTATTTTGTTACTTTCCGCAGACTCTTTCCAACTGTCCACACCTTTCTTGCAGAGTAGGGCCCAAAACTGACAGTACTCCAGATGAGGATTCACCAGTGCTAGAGAGAGAGGCAGAATCACTTCCCTTGCTTTGCAAGTGCAAGTGACGTTCCTGTTAATATAATGTTTTTTTTCTTTTCTCCTTTTGCAACAAGAGCACATTTGGCTCATAATTAGATAATGTTCCACCATAACCCCTAGGTCCTTCTCTTGCAGCACTGTAGCCTAACCAATCACTCCCCAAGTGCAGGACTTTGCACTTGTCCTTGTTCAGTTTCAACGGATTGTGATCAGACCATGTCTCCAGTTCACCCATGTCATTTTGGATCTTAACTTCCCTCTAGACCAGTGGCTTTCAACCTTTTTTCATTTGTGGATCCCTCAACATTTCAAATGGAGGTGCAGACCCTTTGCAAATTTCAAATGGAGGCGCAGGCCTCTTTGAATTGAAAGCATGAGTATTCACATACTTTTGACTGAACACAGCCATCTTTTTAAGGACCCCTTAAACATAGTCTACAAGCCTCCAGGGGACCATGGACCACAAATTGAAAAACACTGCTCTAGAGTGACTGCAACTCCACCCTTCGGAGTTGATTTGATGTCATCTGCAAATGTACTAAGTGTGCACTTGAATCCCATTGCTCAAATCATTTATGAAGATGTTAAACAATACTGGCCCCAAGACAGATTCTGGGGAACTTCACTTGCTACTTCCTCCCAACTAGACAAAAAGTCACTAATGATTACTCATTGAGCATGATAATCCAACCCATTTTGAATCCACTTTACAGTACTTCTGTCTAGTCGGTAATTCCTTATCTTATCAAGAGAATTTCATGAGAGAGAATGTCAAAAGTCTGGCTATAGTAAAGGTATATCACATCCACCGCTCATCCACAAAGCCTATAAACTTATAAGGAAAATCAAGTTGGTCAGGTATGACTTGCTCTTTGTGAATCCATACTAGCTCTTTCTGATCACCTTAAGAACTTAAAAACTGCCATTTACTGGGTAAGAACATAGGTCCATCTTGCCCAGTATCGTATGTCATGCAGTGGCAGAGCGGACGCTGAAGGGGAGACTGAACCAGGTATGACCAGGGTTTTTCCCCCATTGTTCCTCTGACTTGCAACCTCCAGCATTTAAGGTCTAGGGCGTTCTAATTCAGAGGCTGTATCCCTAACTGCCACGCTCAATAGCTGCTGATGAACCTTTCCTCCAAGAATTTGCCCAATCCCTTTTTTAATCTGGCTAAACTGTCAGTTTCCTTCCACAACATCTAGTGACAACCACACTTGAATTTCACACTGTGAGAAAAAGAACTTCAAGATAATTTCTAATCCACAAATGGATATTCTCATAATCCCATGACTACCTTAGTTAAAAGCCTCTGACATGGAACCTTGTTAAAGACTTTTTTGAAGTTCAAATATACTGTCAACTGGATCACCCTAATCCACCTGCTTAGTGACACCCTCAAATAACTCTAGTAGGTTGGTGAAGCATGATTTCCCTTTGACAAAGCCATGTTGATTCCTTCCTGACAAGTCATATTCATCCACGTGCTGAACAATTCCTTTTTTTTTTTTTTTAAACTTTGTTTCTACCAATTTTCTAGGAATATGAGTTAGACTAACTGGCCTGTAGTTCCTTGCCCCACCTCTAGAGACTTTTTTAAGTATTGGAATCACATTGGCAACCCTCCAGTCCTCTGGTACCAAGGCTGTTTTAAGTGAAAGGCTGCATGCTACAAGAGCTTGACAGTTTCTGATTTAAGCTCCTTCAGGACCCAAGGGTGAATGCCACGAGGTCCTGGTGATTCACTACTGTTTAGTTAATCAATTTCCTCTACAACCTCATCTACTGAAACTTCAATTTGGGGCAGCTCCACTAACCTGTCCCTAGAGAAGAGTGGATCTGGTGAGGGAGTCTCCCTAAAAACTTCCACAGTGAAGGCAGATGCAAAGCATGAATTTAGATTCTTGGTAATGGTGCTGTTATGCTTTAGCTCCCGTTTTACACCCTGATCATCTAAAGACCCAATTGATTCCCTGGCAGTTCTCTGATTTGTAATCTACCTTCTTCTATTCTAGATACTTTGAAATATTCTTTGATGCCCTGCTCCATGATCTTTCCTGCTACGGCCTGATATGATAGGTCTGCATTTCCAGTATGTGTGTAAAGCAGGGCACAGCAGAAGATAGGAAGAAGCCAAACCATGTGTGGCTGGTGCCTGGCCAACCCAAGCACTTGCAATCATTCACCGTGCATTCTCTGTTACCCTGCAACCCAGTCACCCAAGGAAAATCAGATTCTAAGAGGATGAAGGACAAGAACAATCATAGGGAGTCCTTGTTTTTGCCACCAGTAGAGAAAGCTCCCTGCAATCAAACACTGTTACACTGATTTCTTTCCAAAAACTACCTTCTCCTATAAAGGTCAGTCTACATGAAAGACTTGTGTAGAGACATGTAATGATCATGGTATTACAACAAACCTCGAACTACAACCGAAACAGATAAATTACCTCTTCTTCAATAGCAAACAATTTGACAATGTTCTTGTGATTCAGCTTCTTTAAGACTTCAAACTCTCTCATTTGAACTTCCGCAGGACGAAGGAAGCTTATGCTGTTAAATACTTTGACAGCGTATAAATCTCCAGTTTTCTACCAAAAAAAATTAAAAACAAAATCACCGTGTATCAGAAAAATATTGTTTTCTTAATCATTCTTAAAATAATTCTTAAAAATTTAAATTCACAAAGTATCAGTTTTCTAAAGAATCCCAAAACTCTTTACACATTTACAAATGGGATATAAATGCTTTATAATAATTTATTAACTCTATAAGTTGATTTGGTTATTGGGATGTTAATGTATGAATGTACTAACTTAGTTTAACAGGTGACTATAAGGAAAAAATAAACAGGACAGAAAAAAAATGACTCAAGGTAAATCACTTTTCTCCAAATGTTTGATGGGGTTTCCAAAACAGAAAAAAACTTACAAACTCAGAAGATCAAAAGAGCCATGCCAGGTTTCAAAAAGGAACATGGTTTTATGACAGGGGGCCATACAGAAACAAACACCTGCAGGGAAAACGGGCTGAGGCATGACGAATTTAGTTTTGCTTTGGTTACCACTGACAGACAGCAAACTTGGTAAGAGTTTGCACATAAAATTTCTCTGAGATTCTTTTTTCCCCCTTTAAGGCTTTATTCCTACAGCTAAACCAATTATTTAAGAAGGCTGTCTGGTAATTATATATCACTGTTTCTGATTCCTGAAGGGAAGAACTACAAAAGTCTAAAACATGAATCATTTTGTACTAAAATTCAGCTACCTGTAGGGCAAAGCAAACCAATAGAAAATAAACTTAACATAAGCATAAAGCCTGAATAAACTAAAATAAAAAAAAAATAAATTGGAAGTTAGATCTATTTTTAGACCCCAGGAAAAGATAAGCAACATCAAACAATAATTTAGGAAAGAACACTATATCCAGTATGAATCTTCAAACTGATTTTACAGTTAGAGTACGCTAATCAGAACTGATTATTTCCAGTATACCTAAGTTATTTTTTTTTCTTTTTTGAAAGACCATGGGAGTCAAAGAACTAAAAATGATCTACTAAATAAAGTCAATTTAGTACCTGAGTTCGTAGCACACCCCACCCCCACAACAGTTTATTATTCATACTATATCATCACCCAGAAGCAACTACTTTCTACTAGTTTTACTAGGCACTGAACATATGTATGAGGCAAATACACCTGAACAATATCACGCAGCACTAGCTTAATGACAACTCAGGAAAGAATAGCATTCGCTGCACCAAAAAGCAGGACTTCAAAAAACCAGAATTACAAAATTTAGGACAAATGACTGCTATAAAATGTAGAAAAGATTTTAGGGGATGTTATAAAGGGAGACAAAATATATAATTAAGCAACAATGAACAGGCTCATATCTGACTGCAATTCAGGTATCCACACCAATCTGGGGATACTTTTTCACAGAAGTGAAAAATAGAAATATAAGCATTTAGTTTTTAACTTTTAGTTCCACTACAAGGATCACCTGAAAATATGCTAACAAAAATTAAGCCTTCAAATCCACAGCCAAATGTATAAAAGCTTAAAAATTACCAATAAAGTTCTAAATAACTCCCATGAAACTTACCAGTAGTTCTGCCTTTAGACCCAAATTTTGGAAAGTGATATACATTCAATGAGGCTACTTAGGTTCAAAACAGTTTACAAAATTCAGGCTGATTCCTTCAGCATTTATCTGCTGCCATAAAACAGCTATAACTACTCACCCTGCACATGGTGAGTATACTCTTGTAATGGCCTATGATTTCACGAGTTACTTCAAGAAACAAAAGCCCATAATCAAAAACAAGGTAAACCAACCACTCGTATCTCTGCAGATAAACGTCTTTCAAGCTGCTTTTTAAATTATACACATAGTTGGAAATTTATAGCCAGGAAAAAGTAACAACAGCATTGCCATTTTCCTCACTGTTATAATGAAGTAATGCAACCAGGAGGACATAACTAAACACTGCAGATAACATCAAAACTAATCAATACCTAGAAAGAGAAATGGACTGGGGCAGGGATCATGTCTTTCCTTATGTTTAGGCTATACAGGGCTTCTGGGCTCTATCATAATATTATGATAATCAATAAATTCATATATTATGGAGGAGGTTTTAAACAAAATGAGCCCAAACTAAAGGTTTCTCTAGAATGAAGATTTCCCTTCTCAAAAAGGACAGCTAAAATCAATGTTTCAAAAACCTCACCTAGGCAGATCTATACATTTCTTTCCAATTTAAAATACCATTTATGTTTAGTAAGAATATTTATGTTTAGTAATTAGGCCACAAAAATCTTTTTGATTTTTATTTAACTAGTCCCTTGGTTTGTTGGAAACCCAAGCTCTACAGCACTGTACTTATGCATGCATAAAAACCAGGAAACAGCTATTTATTTGCACTGTCCATATGAATAGGACTTTAAAAGGAAAGAGCAAGCTCAGTGAAATGTTATGTCATATTTTACAAGTTATTTCAGTATGTATAACAGATAACAACAACAAAGATAAGAAACCTACTTTTAGAAATCTGAATTACAAGGAAAAAGTAAAATGCTAGGTAAGGTACACTTTTTTCTTAAAAAATGCATACTGAATTCAATCAAATTGGAGCCCTCGCTCCCTCTCAGAGCCACTGCCGCCTGCTCCGAGCCCAGCACAGCCCAGCTGCCTCACCAGCAGCCTGCTTTCACTCTGCGCATAGATCCAGGGGATATGCACCCCCCATGCCCTCCTGGGATGCATGTAGCAGCAGGAGCTACCCCCAGCTCCCTGCACAAGGCGCAGCTCCACCCCGCGCCCTGCCCCGGTTGTGCAGCACCTGCCCCTGCCACGACACACACACATGACATGGACAGAGCAGAATCAAGGGTTTTCAAAGGAAAGAAGCCAAACTTATTTTTTTCCTACTGAATCTAGCTTATGGCATTTCATTCAAGTTTACTGTACAGTCCTTTCCTCTCTATTAACCGAAAGAAAAAAGTGCCGTACATTAACAAAGAAAAACAGGGCAAGAAAAATATTTAAAATTAATTGTAAGAATCTTTGTTCTTGTGAAGATAACCTGATATGGTGTCCAGCTTGTTTCCTCTGTACAAACCTTATGCCGTCCACGAAAAACATTTGCAGTTGCTCCTTGTCCCAGAACATCAGACAAAAGCCACAGATAATTTGAAGTGCTCTGCATGTTTGCTCTTGATAAGTCGTTTTCTTTTCAATCTTAAAAAAAAAAAAAAAATTAAAATATTTAAAAGGAAAATGAATACTTTATCATAAAACTGAAGATATTACTCCAGAGATAAATCAATGAGAGGGAGTAGAAGGGAAAAAGAAAATAAACAATTTCATGCTAAATACTGCCAGAAATGAAAATTTAGGCTTTAGGTCTAAAACTCATCAGAGATTAAGGTCTTCAGCCCTGCCTTCCATTTAAAAGACTCAAGGTGGGGAATAAAAAAGATATAACAACATATATAAAAGATAGGGAATAACAACATATATAAAAGATAGGGAATATAACCACAACATTCAAATAATATGAAAAGTGTTTCTTCCTTTAAGACAAACAGAATTTCTACAGGAACTATAACAATTTATACAGCTGAGTCAAATTAGCTAACAGAGTGGACAGTGGTAGACTGATATACTATTAAGGTATTTTGGCTCTGAAATAAGGAAGTATTGAAAGCTGTTTCTTCTTCAAGCTCCAAATAGCTTGGCTTTAGCCAGATAAATAATCACGGTTGATATGTAATTTGAAGCATTTCAACTATTCTAGTTAGAAATACTGACTGACAACTGAAACAACAAATCTATCCAAGGCCCTTGAACTTTAAGGCAAAGAAGTGTATCGAGTTCCCAGTGACTACAGTAAAAAAATAACAGAAAACTTCCTGTGCGATAAGCATCTACAAGTTTATCAACAAGATTACTCAGGCCGACTTTTGAAGAAATTATTGATTTATAAAACAAAGTCTGTAACAATTTAGTACATTTTTTGCCACAGGAAAAAAGGAGGGAATTCAGGAAAAGACAGTCCAAAAGAAAATTTAGTAGGTGGTCCCCTCTTCTCTCCCACTCTTATTTGAAAAGCAAATTTGGAACAAGATCTACCAAAAGTAAATGAATGAGCCACGAGCAACTACAACCCAGATTAGCATGCTAGAGAAGCTAGGACTTCATACCTGGATAAGCATAAACAGGAAGCAAGACATTTGCAGTATGGTACAAAATACTGACCATTACCTGAGGCAGCAAAAATAGAAATCAGATCGAAGGTCTAACATTTCTACTGATGAAGTTATACCACCGTTAACCCTCAGAATCTGTATATGTGCAGCTCTGATACAAAATAGGTGGCATGCCTGACCTGCTGCCTGATCTGAGCAGCATAAGTAAGGTATACAGTCCTTATACCTTCAATTTAAAAGATTAGAGACACACAGTGATTTCGTTTTCATTATCTCCCATCTGCTTTCTATAAATAACTCTGTAAAATGTCACTATTTAATCTCAGTTGCTTTTGTTCCATCTCCATTCCCATCCCAGCTTCATTGTACCTCTCCCTCCTCAAAACAGCTCAGATGGCATCTTTTCACAAACATGCAACATCTGCTTATTCCTTTTTCATTTTTCTGACTCCGCTAAATTTTCTGCCTCTCCTATTTCTCTTCAGATCCATTTACTCTTCTAACAGATTTGCATTCAAGATCACCTAATATTGACCAAAGTTATTAGGGCATCTCAGAAAGGATGTGAAATTTTGGGAAGAAATAAGACAGACAGAAAACATAAAAGACATCCCATAATGTAAGTGAACAAACAAAAAAGAACATAAAATGGAGAAATAGATTAGGAGAAAATGACAGATACGGAGTCTTAATTCAAAGATACGGCCCTTTTATTAATATCTCCTCCTCCCCATATATGATTTTTACAAGGCTTATTTTCTGCAAATTACTCCATAAATGTCTCAAATTTCTTTATACTTTGGATGAAGGGTAAGAAAACTCTCCATCTCAACATCTCCTTTTTTATTCTTATTACACAATTCAGGGCTGTGCAACTGGCAACCTATGAATGGCCTGTGGATTGGTGGCTACCTCTCCTTTTGCAGCACAGCAGCAGCCCATGCAGTAGGAGACAGAGGTCTGCGGCCTGCCAGGGTGGGCAGGAATCCACCCCCACAGCATGTGGGCAGAGGTGGAACAGCCCTGATGAACCGATCCTTTCTGAATTACTCGACGGAGTTTCATTTTCTCATCATTTGTAAACACCCATTCTGTTACTGAATCAGCAGTTCTGTGTAGGAATCTACCGCAATTTACCTTATTGTTTAATTCATTCTTCCCAATGATTAAGGAGGGATGACATACAATAGATTTTGATATTATTCTCATTTTATTCCTTTTACTGCTTTTGCTTTGAAGGGGAAGGAACATTGCCTGCTTTGCCAAGATGAAATGTAATACTCTCTCTTGTATGTTAGTTAGCGGGGGAACTGTTCCAGTTCTGTTTTGCGTGCATAACAGCTAAGCCTTGACATGTAAAAACAACCCCCTGAGAATAAAGTTGGACTAGAGATCTTACGGTCCAGGGACAAAGCCAAAGCCAAAAACAAGATCTGGTTCCCAAAACCATTAGACTGCAGAAGTGCATGAATGCTGCTTGAATGCATAGCCCTGGGAATTAATACATTTTAAAAAAGGAGGGGGGACAACTATGCACTTACAGATTTTGCACTTATCTAAATTTAATGTAAAGAATTAGTGCCGGTTAAGCACACAGAATGGACATGACTGTCATATTAGCAGCCTTGAAAATAAGTGGCTCCCTTCATTTTCAAGACTTTTCCCACCAAACCTTTGACAGGACCTTCCCCTTCCCCGTTTCAGATGAAGTTAAAGACAGCACAAATAGTTATGAAGGAGACCCTTACAACAGTCCCTTAAGGGAGGGCATCCTCCACCCAACAGTTGAAGGGAGTGTGCGCCAGGCCTGGGCACAGACACAACTGAGTTATAGTGGGAGGAAAGGCAGTGTATGCTTAAGCAGGACATGCATTTAACATGTAAACACTTAAGCAGGCTTTATTACCACATAAGCAAGAGGCAACAAATTGGGTCTGGGATTGCATTATGCAGCAAAGCCAATTGTGCGTTGGCTTAGTGGGCGTGGATGGAGTACGCGGCACTTTCTCGGGCGCTCAGCCTGCCATCCTCTCCGGGCGGGACGCCTACAGGCCGGCCCGCACTACCGGTGGCAAGAACTGTTATTTTCCGCTCTGTCGCCGTCCTCCTCGGACCCCCGGGGCTCTTCTCCCACCGGCCCACCAGCCCAACCTTTACCTCCACTGCCATGCGGCTGACGCCAAGCCCCGGCGCACCCAGGTGCTGCAGGGCCCCCACGATATTCAATGGCAAGGGCGGCTCTGGGGGCAGCTTTTCCGGGCTTCAGGAGAAGCGTGCCAATTGCTGCTCTCCCGGGCCTGCCCCTTCTAGGCAGCCCGGCCCCGGCTGCCGCGGGGAGGCCACGGTCACAACAGGCCTCTCTCAAATCAAGCTCTGCTCTGGCGAAGGCGCCGGCAGCACCCGCCTCCCCACCCCACCCCTCCGCCGGGGAATCTTTCTGGGCTGCGGCTGGGGGAAGGTCCCTGGCGGCCCCGCTCGGCTCAGGCAGGGCAGGACCCCCCGGCTCGGCTCGGCTCGGCTCAGACACCACAGGCTGCACCTCGCGGCCGCGCATCGCTTTTACCCCCGCG